TGAAGTTCAAAAGTAAAAATCCGATAAGTGTTCCATTTATCAAACTGCGTGCATAAAGAAGCAATGTACTCCATTTTATATAAACCTTACTTCCTCTATTTCATGATAATTAATGTTTTTTGTCAATTTTTACACACATTTAAAATACTTATTATTTTACTTTTTTTAAAAAAACTTATTATTTATACCTAAACACATTTTCACTAATGATAAACAATCACAAAACATTAAATATCATTTTTTCATTAAAAGTAACATCATATAGCTTGAGATATAGTAAAATTCTAAAAGATGTACACCAAAAAGAAAAAGAAAAAATGTACACTGAAAAGTTTAGTTAAGGTTTAATATTATGTGAAAATTATTGTTGGTCGAATAAAAGTTTGTTTCAGTTGTAAATTAGAAGTCTCTATGAGATTATCTTAAAAATTGTATTTCTTGGTACTAAAGTTGTATTTCTTTAATTAGTAACTAGAGTTGTTTTCTATTTACAATACGTATGTAAGAACACAAGCTCAGGGACTAAGTATTCATTATTCACTTAGGTTCCCCGATGTCCAACACTAATTATTATACATTCGCATTCCATTATTCTTGACGCTTCCTAGCTCTTCCTCTCTAGATATATAGCCTACTTTCCAGTTGGAAAAGGGATTCCATTATTAAATGCTCACTTAAATATCTACGTAAAGAACCAGTTATTAACATGTTTTTTTGGTCACTAAGTTATTAACAAATGCAATAGATAAATGATATAAAAGCATGATTAACCCAACTCGGTTTTTTAGTCGGAATTTTTAACTCATGATTTGATATTTTTTTACTAAGAAATGTCTTTTATATATTTTATTTAAGAGATGGTTCTTGTATTTTCTTAGTTAAAATCTAAGAATCGACTTTTTTAGTCGAAGATAAGAATCCCAATTAAAAAACTGAAGTTAATCATAATCTAAATATCACAAGGATTTCTCTTTAAAGAACACAGTGGCTCAATGTCGTAGGTTTGACGATACAAACGGCTGTATATTTTAACTATGAATGGTGACTAAACTCTACCTAAAACAAACAACATAAGTTTATGTAAATGTTGTGAGCTTAATTTTCCAGACCTTTTTTTAGATATTTTCAGATTCTATACTCGTATGTTCCTAGGAATTTCATCTATGATTCAGTTCTCAAAATTATAGTTGGTACAAATTATATCTAAAGAGTAACTCTGTAAACTCTAGTACAAGGTTCATCAGACAAATTTGCGTGGTGAATCAATATATTTTTTTAAAATGAATTTTAAATTTATTCAAACAAAAGAACTTTGTTACACAAGAAGTGCTTCCTCAATAAATAGGATACAAACCAATTCAACACAAAACAAACTTAAAGAGATCAAAAACAAAAACATCATAACACCTCCCCTCATGCTTAACCATGAGAAATAAGTAAATCAATATCTTTAAAAAGAAAAAAATTATATGTAATCCAAACCAACCATCGGATGAAGTAGGATCCATAGACAGATAGTGGACCATAAGACTTAGATATCCACATACGGAGACAATCGAGATACTACAAAACCATAAAAAAAACTTTGGATTTTTATTTAGAACGGTCCAACCCGCCACTGCGTCATGTTACAATGATGCCAGTGAGCTTTATGAGAACATGTGAGAATCACGGTCTCTCTCTCTCTCAGTATAGCTCGGTTGCGAATTAACCTGGAAGGTTCTCTTCACCACCAATTCGCCAAATTTATTCAAGGAGGAATAATTCAGTAGTCAACCATAGAATATATATATTTAAAATAAAAAAAATGAATGAAATTGGGTATGATTTTTCTTTTAAAAGTGGATCTGATGGATAAGATATTAAGGGTTAACTTAAGTTTCACGACTTGCAAGTATAAGGTGGAACCGTGGAATCTTTTGGGATGAAGGCAGATTTTGCATGCGCGTATACTTTTTCTAAAGACATTAAATTAAAAACCCTACAATTTTTTTTATTCAACTTCGGAGTCTTCAAGTTGACGACAAACTAGCCACTTTTTCATTCCTGTTCTTTTCCTCCCATTAATATTTAATTGTAGTCTATGATAAACTCACAAAAATCTAGATCGAGTGGACTATATAGTTGTTTGATTGTTTCCACACAAACACACACACACACAGAGATGTTACATATATTGTTTTTAAGTTATAACGAGCTATGAGAAACGTTTCTAACACATTTTTGAATTGAGTTTTAGATACCTATTTCTAACAGCATGGGTTTTCTATAACTTTGGACTAGATTTTGACCCGCGCTTCGGAAGCGCGGGTTTTGTTGAGTTATAAACATAGTTTACTATGAATTAGTATTTTGGGATTTTGTATATTATTATTAAGTTATAAAGCTGTGTTATTTTGAATAAAGAAATTTTATAAAATTTATAAATTACATAATTTATGAATTATTTTATTTGAGATTTTATATGTACATTCTTATGTAAGTCTCTCTTAGACATATACATTTACTCGAATCCAAAAAAAAAACTGAAACGAAACCAACACGAAAATACATGTTCGAAATCGAGAAACTACATATTAGGTTTTGTTTTTTGACCCGCAAGTCTCTATCGAGTCCCGATACTCAAAGACCTGAAATATTTTGTGTATATTTGGACATTTCAGATCTATGTTTTGGTATTATAGATATTTGTAAGTTATAGTTTCAAAATTTGTGTTATAATTTCGGCTTCAGTAAAATTTTATAATCTTAAGATTATATTTTGAGTATTCGAATTTGTGGATTTTTGGATATTTGAATATTTTTGGATTTATTTTAACTTTTCAGGTTTTCGGATATTTTGAGTTTTTTCTGGTCTAAATACTTAAACTGATGCAAACCTATTATAAAAAAAAATACAGATAGTTTAGTTATAGACTCGATTAAAATGGATCCAAAAGAACTGACCAAACCTAATATAGACCTACATAATATTAAGTGATAACTTAATTTAGAGAACAAAGTGAATCGCATGAAATAAGGAACAGTGATAGGATTCATTTTATATATTTACAATTTTGTATGGTTAAAATTATTAATGGTAAAGTAAATAACAATAAATAGTTATACGTAGGTCCAACAACATTTCCATGGTTGATTTTTATAATGATTTTCTTTTAATAATATAGATAAAGTTGAATAAACTATTTGATTCATGACTTTTAAGAAAACTTTACTATATCATTAAAGAAAATTTAGAAAATTGGTGATTCAAAACTAAAATATATTGTTAGAATTCAATATTTTTTTTGTTTTTATTAGTGTTAATCTGTTTTACATTTATCTATTTTCTTTTATTTAGATTAAAAGTTAATTTTTAATAATAGTTATTTATTTCTTTTGTTTACTTTTAGCTAAAGTTATAGTTTGGTATAAAATTAGTTAAATAGTTTTGAGAAGAAGCTATGGTGTTCGTTGGTTTAATTTTTAATTTTGAGATTTGAAGGCGTTCTAGGTTGTTTGATTAATTAATTGCTGTTTGTTAATGATGTAAGGAGAAGATGAAAAAGTCAAAACCAAAAGTTATAGACCTTGGCTGGGAATAGAAATTATTACTATTGTATATGATATGTATTTACTTGATATCTACTATCGAATGTATGTGAAATGGTATTTATTGATGTGTTATTATATTATTAAATGTATATTAATTTCATGGAAACAATAAGTGATTGCTACTTATAAAAGGTATTTATTAATGTGGTATACTATTAAATGTATATGAATCGGTAACAGTATTAACATTATCATATAGTTAGAGAAAATTAGGGAAATATTAGGTAACACCAAATAATTATTACTTAAATGAAAGGGTCCAAACAACTTTCATAGGTAGATTTTTTAGGACTCCTTCTCTTTTAATAGTATTGATACTCGCAAAATGATTTAATTTATTAGATTGTTCGTCCTTATCAATGGTACTAATTTAAATTATTAGATTATCGTCTTTATAAATCATATAACTTTTGTTACTCGCAAGAAAACAAACGAAGTTTCTAATAACTAAACTGAAGAAGTGAAATTATAAAATTTAACAAAAGATTGTAACATATAACGTTAACATACATAAAAAAATTTATTCAACTAGGGGTTTATTTTTCCTTTTTCTATTAATTTGTAAGAAAACGTTACTACATATTTTTTACATAACTAAAACAAACGAATGTGTACAAAATTATGTAGACATTATTCCAAAACTAGTCCAAACTAATAATCAAAATCTGTAACGTATGGTTGTGGTAAGAAGAAAAAAGAGTCTGAAACGTATGTTTCATTGCCCTCTTTTTAGTGGAACGAGAAAAAGCTGGTGTGTATCATTATCAACGTCTTGAATATTAAGGGGAAAGATGTTAAAAATAATCACAAAAGAGGGAAAATTTATTATTCATAAATGTTAAGAGTTGTAGTTACAAGGAAAAGCATTTTTTCAGACGATGACCTTAATCATAAGTTTCTACACTTTTTGCTCTTTTAAATTCGGATCTCCTTCAACATTAGGCTGTAATCATAGTAATCCACATGATACAGTCTTCTCTCTCTCCATGTATATAGTATACATAAATAATTGGGAAACTATTCTATCCATAAATACTAGTACGTCAAAAAAATATTTCAAAGCCCAACATGTAAGTTTCTACCGAGTAGCGACCAACACATGTGTTTATTTTTGGTCAATAAAACATACATGTATATATGCATCTGTGTGGTTTTTCACATTGGTGATGTATGTTTGATATGGCATGCACGCATGATTGAAGAATAATGATTGAGGAATTTTTCTGTAACAAATAAAATTGAAATAAATATATGTGGCTAAGAACTCAAGGAAGGACACATGTTGATACATGTTGATATGTGAAATGGGAATCTTATAACAAGGAACAAAGGGTTGAAAGCAAAAGGGTATATTTATTTAGTTTACTTTCCTATTCTGAACCCTTAACTTCTGCCATCCTTTCCACCAACAATACTCTCTATCTCTCTTCTTCGTCTTCTTGCCCTTTAATTTTACACCAGCTAAACATATCAACATAAGTATTATTTCTTCTTTTTCTTTTCTACTCTATCAATTCTACTGTACTTATATATCTCTTTGAATAAAAAAAGAAAACCCTAGCTAGACCAAAGATTACAGTTCATTTGTTGTGAAGCCTCTTTTTTTTCTTTTTTCTTTTCTGATTTGGGTGTCTTGGGGTCATTGAATTTTGTGACTGCCATGGCAGAACTTTTGGGGATCTGCATATATGGGCTACTTCTTGAATCAGCTTTCAGGTAGCTGTATCCAGCCTGCATCAGATGTTATTAACTCACTACACACCAAACACAAACACAACCACAACAACAACAAAAAAACGGCAACCATTTTGAAGAGACAAACAAAAAACGGCACACAAGTTTCCTCCCCAAGCTGATAAAAACCCCCACTAACTCAAGAGTAGTGTCATTTTGAGAGGTCAACAAAAAATGGGACTCAAAGGTTATAGCGCTGGAGATGGAGTAGGAGAGATAATAGAGGTTCCAGGCGGTCACATCATTCGAGCCACTGGACGCAAAGACCGTCACAGCAAAGTATTCACATCGAAGGGTCCACGTGACCGGCGCGTGAGACTCGCAGCTCACACGGCGATTCAGTTCTACGATGTGCAAGACCGGTTACAATATGACCGGCCAAGCAAAGCCGTGGACTGGCTCATCAAGAAAGCTAAAGCTGCCATCGATAAGCTCGAAACCACCACTCAAGAACCGGAGAATAATACTACTAAACCGGGTGGATCTTCTTCCTCCGAGCCCAACTTGGTTGATACTCAAACGCAGTTCGTGGCGGCCAATCTTGATCCTGAAGACGCAATGAAAACGTTCTTCCCGGCGACAACTAGCGGTATGAATTTCCAAAACTACCCTCATCATCATCATGATGCCGACATTATAGTCTCAAGAACAGCAACAACAACAACACCGAACCTTAACCAAGATCTTGGTCTCTCTCTTCACCCATTCCAAGGAAACAACATCAGCAACACAGTAGTCCCCGAGACCAACAACTTCTCCTCCACGGCTCATTTCGAGACATTCGGGAGAATCTCTGGATGGAACCATCACGACTTAACCATGACGTCATCGTCTTCACCATCCGAACAACAACAACAGCAAGAGCAAGAAAGAGGTAATGGTGGTTTCATGGTGAATCTTCACCATCATCAACCATCGATGATGACATTGCTCAACAGTCAGCAACAACAAGTGTTTCTTGGTGGCCAACAACAACAACGGGGTACCCTTCAGTCCAGTTTATTCCCTCACTCGTTTCGTTCTTGGGATCATCATCATCAAACAACGTCGGACAATCATCATCATCATCATCACAATCAAGCTTCTCCTGTGATGTTTGCTTCTTCATCACAGTATGGTTCTCATGGGATGATGATGATGCAAGGCCTTAGCTTCCCTATCCATGGAGAAGAAGCTACTCAACCAAACTCCTCTTCTTCTCCTCCAAACTCACACCTCTAGACACAGGTTTCCTTTTATGTTTCTAGCACTTTTATTTAAAGAAAAATTTGATTAATCACTCTTTATATTTTTTATTAATCAACCTTTAAGTTACTCTCTCATTTTCATTGTAGAGAAAAGAGTAAGAACCATGTTGTCATGAGCAAAAAGGAGGATTGATGAGATGGAAGAAGAGTACGCGATATATTACCATCTATGATCTATCCATATGTTTATAGATATGTGCGTTCAGTTCTTATGATCCAAGACTACTACTACTCTCTTTTTAGTATTTTCATTATTCAGTTTTGGTTATTTGTTTCATGATTTTGCATTGTTCATCAAGATTACGTTTGAACTAAATGAGTTCTATGTGTGTGTTTCCCTTTAGTATGCCCTTGTGTCTAGACATTAATGCTATCTCATTTTTGTTCTACAAGTGAGTGATAATTTTCTGATTTGTTTATTCTGTTTTTTTTAATGTCTTAATTACGAAGTTGAAATCTTTAGAAAATGGGGTCGTATAAACGAGTAACTAAAGATGTGAATCTATGCACTATGCAGATACCATTTTTTCCTCTCTTTAAGATAGCTTCTGAGTTCTGATGACCTACTAAAAAGTTGAGACGATTTAGTAGAAATGTCAACGTTATAACAAATTTTGGAGTGTTTATGCAAAAGTTGCCATTGAGTATTCAACGCTTTGTGACAGAGATACTAAATGATCTCGATATTTCAGCCTGCTTTAGTTAGGTTTATTGATAAAGAAAGAAGTTACATCTCTTAAAAATAATGGAAATAGTTGTGTACAGTCTCATAGACTTATAGGGAGAGAACGACACTGATCACTGTGTTTGGCAGTGGTATATATTTTTGTGGGATTAGTTTGATAGAATAAAAGATGATATAGCTTAAAGTGTTTTGTACTTTGTAGTCACATGATGACCATCATTTCTTTTATCCCAACGATGATCATCGTTTTCATACGAGACGTTAAAAGCTAAGAATGTTCGTACTACTATGAAAAGTTTGAATACAGTTTATATTACTTTTTTCTTGTCAACTAGTATCATTTATATTAGTTAAATGCAGTTACTTATCTGATATGAGAATGACCACTTTGGCCTTTTGACAAAGGATTGTGTTAGATTTATTGGAATATGTCAACAAAAGGACCAAAACAAATAATTAAACAACAGTCTAAAGAGGAAAACAGAAGAGTGATGTAATAACTAAGAGCATCTCCAACCCCACTCTGCAAAATGAAGTGGGGTTGGAGATGCTCTAAATACCACCTCACCATAAACAAATTCTGCAAAATATAACTTTCGGAATTATAAACTTTATGGAAAAAGCAAAACCTATGACTAATACATACATAACTTGATCTCAACTCTAAGAAATAATATGTTTTTTTGAGCGACCTCTAAGAAATAATTAAGATTCTGATATTGTGAATATGATGATGCGTTCTGAAGAAAAAACTGAAAGACTTAAACAACTTGGATTGTCAAAATCAATATGATTTTTTAATCTCCACACATTTAATAATTTTTAGCCAACTTATCTCATGTTTTTATACCCTCAAATAGATTATATAATTTTTCAATCAGTCTAATTTTGTTACACAATAAAAATTGTCTACAAAAATTTCACAATTACAGTCTAATTAGGTGGTTTTCCATGTAATGCATATAAATAGTAATTTAAAAAAAAATAGAATTTTATTCAAAATTGTAATGAAATATACTTTTATCAAAAACGTGAGATTTTGATTTATATTTTGATTATTTTTAATCTAATCTCATAAATTTTTAAAAGCTGTAAAGTAAATATATTTTTAGTTTAGTTTTAATTTAATTTAAGAATTTTAAAAAGATTTAATTTAATTAATAAATTTTTTCAAAAATAATAATTTATACTATATTTTTTTGGACTAAAGATTTACTTTTTATTTAAAGCATAATTCAGAAAATACAAGCCCAGCCAGCCAGGCCTTAGTAATTGAATAGATTTAAGCCCAATAATATAGATACCCACATAAAAGAACAACCCTATTAATAATAGACATTAGAGGCCCAATCAGACGACATGCAAGAGTGGAGGAGGAAGATCGGTGAGAGCACGGTGAAGAAATGATGAAGCAAGCCAGGCCCAGCACTGCATCATCTAAGAGGATAGGGCGGGATCCGTATCACGGAAGGACTGAATACGGTTTACCTTTGAGTTGCTTCATCTTTACCTCTGACTCTGAATTCACTTATATGTTGCTAACATTCTTAGTTTCTTTGTCCACCCTAAGCCAATATATGAAGAAATGTTGTGTGTTCGGTTGTAAAACACTCGATCTGACACATGTTGATAGGTTTTTACTAATATGCATGCAGTTAACTGGAGGGAAAATTGGGGATCGGCTAATGGCAGAAGCTGAAACAAATCTTGACATTAACGTTATTCCAGGCTTGTCATAGTCTTTTGAGGTGCAAGGGAGAGCAGACCTAAGTCCAGCTAGCGATGAACCATTAGGAACGTTTTGTTTCTGTCTTCTTATTTATGTTTCTTACTGGTTTTAATGTGTTCAGGTTACTCCAAAAACAATTCGGTTGAGGAAGAGATCATGTTTAGACGTTAACAAGCGTAAACCCCAGAGCAAACGACCCAAAGAACTTTTCAACTTAATTTTCCTATTCAGTCTTTAGTAAAAGCTGATTTTGTCTGTATTTCTTGTCACAATCTTACATGAATATGTACGAGGAACATTCAGCTTGTATAGATTCATAACTTATACGCGAAGGTGCATTCTTCTATTGAATAACTAAAAAGAAGATAGATTCATGTGAAACTGTGAACCAATGAACTTATCGTTAAAAAGTGTTTAGTGTGTGGCCTTGGGTCTATTTCACAACCCACAGGTCTTAATTTATTGTATTTTCAATGTTTGTCTTCACTTATGTACTTTGTGGGTACTTGCTTTGCAAAATATTGTAATGTTTACATACGAGGAGTTAGTAACCGTTCCGGATCAATAATGTATTTTTCTTCATAAATTGCAAAACATAGTAATGCATGCGAGTTTAAGGTATAAACTATTGGAAACAAAATCTTTAATTTCTTAATAAGAAGTTAAAAGAAAAAGAAAGAATTAATTGAGGTTATAAGAGAATCCATTAAGTGGAAGAAAACCAAACACATATAAGTAGAAGCAAGAATAACAAAAAGTCAACTCATAAATCTCAAAGCAACATCTAAAATAACAAACATAATTTTTAGAACAATAAAATTCTTAAAGAAAAACTAGGGTTTGTAGAAGAATAAAGGAGAGCATGCTTAAGCCACTCCACACCCGAGGGTTTGAGGCTCTATTTTAAGGAAGTGATGCAATCGTTGCAGCATCAACTGGAAGAACCACAAGAGGATCTTCGAAAGGCTGCGAAGGAGAAGGGTTAGGTTTAGGTTTAGGTGTAGGATTAGGTTTAGCATCAACAGGATTAAGTTTAGGGTTAGAAGAAGAGGTGTTGTTTTGTTGAATAACGGTAGTATTCTCCGCAGAGGCTGGCATGACTAGGACCTCGAGCTTTTGACCAGCTTCGCAGTGGGCATTGGTAAATATTAACAGATATTGTCCTGATTTACTATAGAGTTTGTCACGAACGGATAAAGGGCATTGGTAAGCTCTCAATAATTTTTAACTTACAAAAATTAAATTAATTGCCCATATAAAAAAGGTTAGTAGATTTATTTCATGTCCTTGTTGAAAATTTATGAAGGGTCTTGATTGAAAATCTTGTTCTTGAGTTGTGGTTAGCTTGGATATACTTGAACTCGCAGGTTTTTCACATTCATTCTCTAATGCAAGAGACTAATGTGGTCGGTTTGTGATGAATGTATTTCTATGTTACCACCTTGATCATTCCCGATATATAGTTTAAACATAAACGCATTGTTTGTAGCGAAGACATACCTATAAACGTAAATCAAATTATTCGAGAGAAGATAATTTCTTTTTAACTTTAATTTCTTTTTCATCCCCCTAATATTGATATCTATAGTTATTGTGAAAATATGAATTACATAAAGATTGTTAGTTAATTTGATATACAGAGAAATATATATATGTATTTACCAGTTTAGACATTAATAAAGCCCTTGAATCTGACACAATTCACAAAAGAAAAAAATAACTTTTTCGCTGGTTAATTTTCAGCTGCTAAAGCTCAAGAAGTATACTATAAAAATATATATATATATATATATATATATAATTTAATTGCACCAACGGAAATCAAAAAGAAGGAATTCATTTATTATTTTGAAGTAAACATGCAAAACAATTGAAGGAACGAGAAAATAACTACGTCCAACATGAAGTCTCAAAGGTAAAAACTACAAAGCAAGAAACAGAACCAAAAGGAAACAGAACGTGTGAGTCAAAGATTCAAAACAAGAAGAAAAAAGGAAGTAAAGAAATTAGGACGCAGGATCCTATCCAAGCACTAGAGTTTGAAGCTGCGCTATGTGGAGCTGGTGCTGATGGTCCCGTCTGGTACTTTGGACCATTATTAACCGGTGAAACAGCCAACGGAGACGGTGAAGGAGACAAGGATGAGCTTGGTGATCGGACCGGTCTAGGAACAGGAGCCGCAACAGGACCCAACGAGGCAGGTAACACTACTATTTGAAGCTTTTGTCCTATGCTGCAGTGACCAGGAACTCCACATATAAAGTTGTGGACTCCTGCTTTTGTTAGAGTGACCGTGTCGGACCCGGTTTCATATCTTTCTAATGGATTAGATGGTTCACACAGCTCGAAATTGTTGAGAGTGACTTCATTGACGTCGTGGTAGTCTTTGTTGTATTCGAAGACCAAAGAGTCTCCGACTTGAAAAGTTCTTGAAGAAGCCCAAGACTCGTAATCAGCACCCATCATGGTCCATCCTTTTGAGTCGCCGACTTTGTGGACAGTGCCTCCAATGACAGCACCGAAGAGTGCCACAAGAATCACCAAAGAAGCAAATAAAGATTTGTTCTTAGTAAAAGCCATGATCGATGGAAGAGATATAACAGGCAATTAAAGAAAACAAGTTTGGAAGAGATATATGAAGTTGTAAGTTTGTGTCGTGAGAAGTTGAGAGGGAGCAGGATTAACGCAAGCAAAAAGGAGTTGCTTAGCTTAGTGGGGCCTACCAAATGCCCAACAACCGGTGTTTTTGACTCTTAAACAAGCGTCTTTCTTTCCTTGTTGCTTGTACTGTGCGCGGGCCCCGCCGACACGTGGCGGCCCGCGATTCGCCTCTTTTTAATTTTTTTTTTTTTTTTTTTTAAATAGGACGAAAATTAAAAAAAAAAAAAAAATTAAAAAAATAAGCAACTTTAATGGTTGCCTGCGTTAATCCTGCTCTAAGTTGTTTATATAGGGCCTCGAGGTATCTGTATGAGGATTCCTAATATTGTTTTGCTTAGGTCCGTTATTCCGTTTTCCATATATGAGAGAGATACGATCATAATATGGACCTTATCTACTTTGGATTTTCCTTTTCAAAATTTTTTTTGCATATTACTGATTTCCTTTTTCTTATCATGATTCTAGGATGGACATTATCCACTTTGGACTTTCCTTTTCTAATTTTGTTTTGCATATTAGTGGTTTCCTTCTTTTCTTTTATAATGGTTCAACGTAATTAATTTGCATCCTGCAATTTTTTTCCTTTTCCTTTTTTAATCTACTAGAATTAAAACTCTTAAAGTTGGTGCAAATAGACAAATTTTATAGATTATCTTTGTATTTTTGCGACTATAACTTTAGATATTCTTAATAAAATCTAAATAAAAAATAAAAATCCTAATAAATTAGAGTAATAACCAGAAAAATTCGGCTATGATAGTTCCTATATTTTCCGTATAAAATTTGGTCTTACTCTAACAGTCTTACTCACGCTTAAAACTCTGATTTCTTTTTTCAATCTATTTTACCTAAAACAATGTTTCTTTATTTGCGTTAAATCTTTTTAAATAACTTCAATTGTATAATTCACTTGAAAAACTATAAGTTAAATTTGTATATGATGTTTAAATTTGGAACGAATATATATATTTTACATGTTTTACTCATAGGTTTGTCTTTCTCATGCATGCAAAGAAGATCAAAACTCATACATCAGCGTTTTACTTCTGCATCTTTAATTTTTTTATGGACACATTGAAAACTTATTTTATTTGCGATAATGAATTGGTCACAAATGTAGTTGAACCACTGATCCTAGTATATTTTATTTGTTTTTGCTAAATTAATTCCTAGTATATTATAACTTTTCAACGGGTAGTTTTTCTTTTTGAGAAAGGGCTTTCCAAAGGGTAGTTTTAATTTTTTTTTTTTAATAATGTGCCGACACAATACCCCTTGTGACATCACGAAAATTGGATGATGTATATATGTTAGCGGTAATTTTATATATGTTAGCGGTAAATTTTATATTCATCATGTTTTTGTAAAACTTGGTCGTTGTAGTTTACATATATGTTAGCGGTAATTTTATAGTGTCAAATATATTTGTATCAGTTTATCTGGGAGAGTAATTGTGAAATTTACAGTCCATCATATTTTTCCTTGTCGAGTAATTTATGTTGGCAAATTCTAATTACAAATACTAACAAGAGAAGTTAGATTCAAGCTGTTTAAAAGAAAAGTTAGATTCAAGTTACTTAATTATGAAAGAGGAAAATTTAGTTGAGTTTGGCCTAGTTTGAATCTAACTTTTATTTTATAATACTGTTCCTGTGGCCTATTTTGGCCTTTGTTTTAAAATAATAAAGGTTTGTTATTCTGTTTATCACGTATAATATTTTCAGACAATCAGATTACATTATATATAACTACGAACATAATCTTGTTTTAAAAATTCAAGACTCTTTAACATCTACATTTGACATTATGTGTAAATGTTGTCACCATTAATTACTGATAAATAATCTAATGGATTAGTTATAAACCGAATAGACCAATGATTTTGCTTCAGTGGTTGTGTTGTCTTAAAAAATGCTTATGGCGTATCACTTTGGCCGGTAATTGTGACGCTCACCTGATATTCTCAACTTCTTATTTCGAAACTAAATATTTAGAAACTCAGATATAAAACGTACTAAAAACGGTAATACATATGAAATCAAATTTACTATTCGAAACTTAATATTCAGATATTATGTTATTTGTAGGCTTCGGATTGCGAAATAAATTGTTTGTAATATATTGACCACTAGACCAGTTACGTCGGTCGTACATGGGAGTGGATGACTACTTAAATGTCTTTTTAATCGAATTTATGAGCACCTTTCCCATCACGGATTCCGCACGTCAATAAATACCAAATACAAAAGAAAAGTAACTGACGACTACCCTCACATGCTATAATGACGAAAGAATGGAGATCTGATGACTGTATCAACAAGTACCCCATGTCCTTGCAAGTTTTTAAAATACAAAAAAAAAAAGTCATTTTCTTAATAGACTTGTGTGTAATCAAATTCATTATTAAAAGAGTATAACTAGATTAGATCTCGACTAGCTACCAAGAAAAATGTCAGAGGTGGATAAATTGTGTTTGTCAGGAACCTACAAAAATTTTTCTGAAATCAACAATGTAAAGTAACGTATCATTAGTTGGAAAAGAAAAAAGTAACGTATCCATATTATTAGTGATAAATTTATACTCCCTCAAGTCCCAATGGTAGCAAACAAAGGTTCCTTTCTTTCTTGTTTTGGTCACTAGTGTTTATTTATATATAAATAATTTTTCTGACAACCTAGCAGCTGCCATATTCTCTCTTTTTTTGTTCACCACTATATATTCTCTCCATTACTTATTATTAAATAAATCATTGTATTATTTTGGTCAAGAATTATTGTATTTTTGTTATTTATTTTTATCTTTCTCTTGTAAGCTGGATCTGTTCCCTGAACTCATTCACACGTTTATATATGAAAGTTGGATTTATCGATCCTTTTTAGCAAAAAAAAAGAAGGATTTATCAATTTTTCGGATACGTGTTTACAGTACGCAACAAAAAGACAGTTGTACCTTTTTTTATATAAAAATAGATTTCTCTAAGGAAAAGTATTATCATAACTTTCAAAAGATCAAAAATCTGAAGAAATGTATAGGTTCTTGTTGCCAAATACCTTACACTAAGATTAGTATATACTTATCGTCGTCCCATCTAGTAGTTCATAGAAAGAAAGGTGAAGAACATGTGGTAGTTATCAACTTTTATTCATTATTTTCCATAAATTATTCATAATCAAATTTGGAAAATCTCTGTAATTAATCATTTAGAGCAATCAATCGACCCGTATAACATAACATGCATACCTACCAAAATCCACCCAAGCATACGGGCACATGATATGATCGCAAAGAAGACTTTGTAAAGAAACAAAGGAAAAGTAACTGGTGTGATTTTACCAAAAAAAGTAACTAGTGTGAACAAAAAAAACTATTTTAATAAATTAATCAACATGGATTAGAGTAAAATAAATTAAAAAATGAAGCGAACTAAAGTGAAAGAAGAATATGACAAGCTCATATATATATATATTCCTTTCTTTTTCACCACGTCGCTTCATTATTATTATCGTCTTCTCTCCCAAATCAATATCATCTTCTCTAGTAACCTCTCCTTCTCTCCGTCTCTTCAACCCCGCGTATTCTCACTGGTATGGTCTCTCGCTTCCTCCATCTCTCTATCTCTCTACACTTTATCGATGTGTATATTCTTTTCTCTGTCTCGTATTCTTCTTCTTACTCTGTTTCTTCAAAAAAGAAACTCAATCTTCATCTTAGTTACTAACTTACGAATATGTATCTGCTTATGTGTACATAGTAAAGAAAGAAAAATGATTCATTATTGATGGGGTCACGCGTATACGTTTTTGAATCTGTATTGTGTAGGGTTCTCTTGTTTCGTTTTTAATGACAATCTTGATAAGTTTTCAAGAAGTCGACAAGAAAGCTTATGTATCATAATCATAATCTGAAAATCTTGATATTAATAATAGTCTTGGCTTAGATTACATCATGTTTGAAGTTACTGCAAGTCTTCTAATGATGAACTTGATTACTGCAGGAACAGCTGAATTTCATATTAATGGTGAGCTTAACGATGGAAGAGAAGCAACTAGATTTAAACCGGCCGCTTCTATCAGTTAGAAGACCTACACAAGCTTCAGAGACCGAGATCAAAACAAGATCTTCTGATTCAGTAACCAACAAGATCCCTCCTGCTTCTCCACCGGTTTACAAGTCTGATAGTAAGTCAGGTCCTGTAAGGAATCCAGGAACCGTTCCTTTTCAGTGGGAACACAAGCCAGGAAAGCCAAAAGATGAAACCAAACCGGATTTACAAAGATTTGTTGAGCCACATTATGTCCCAAAGCTTCCTCCTGGGAGAGTTAGAGTGATGAAACCTGACACTATACCTAACCATGTGGAGGATGCAAAGAGTTGTGGTTCTCGGTGTGAAGATGATGATACTTATCTTGATGCAGCTGATATGCTTTCGAGATCTGAGTCATTTTTCTACAACTGTAGTAATGTTAGTGGTCATGGGACGCAAATGGAGCCATTTGGAAGTTTGTCTAGTGATAGACAAACACAGGATCTAATGATGGGGAGATTCTTGCCTGCAGCTAAAGCCTTGACTTCAGAGACTCCTCCTCCACATCTTTCTAGGAAGCCTCCTAAACCAGAGGAACCGGCAAAGGTAGTGGTGGTTAAGGAGAAACAGAACAAGAGAGGTTCTTTTGGAGTATTGAATCCTGTTCCATCTGTGAGAACGCAAGTACAGAGAGGTGTTTCTGTTCGTCGTATGCGTTCTAAGTATAAAGACTCTAATGAGAGCCAGAACAAGGTAACTGTTAACCTCTCCTTCTCACTGTCTTCTTCAGTATCACGTTGGTAACTTTTCTTCTGATCACTTTCTTTCTTTCCTTCTCTATAGCAGAACAGTGAGCATGTGAATGAAGATAAGATGAAGTTATCAGTCTCTGCTGCTCCAGATGCAAAGGAAAAAGTTGAAAAATCTTGCACTTCTGCACGCACTAAAGTCAGCAGAAACTTTGGTGAGCTCTTAGCTAGTGATGATCATGCATGGAAACCTTCTTCAGAAGCTCCTGTGGCTGAGAAAACTCTGTATGTAGATACTGTGCATTCAGTTGACAAGAAGGTACAAGAAGAGTCCATGGAGCAATTTTTACTAAAAGAAGAAGTTCAGAAGTTGCATGGACCTGGTGAAGAAGCTACCTCGCAGGGTAAAACCACTGAGCAAAGTGTTATAAGAGATGAGGCTTTCACAAAATGCACAGATCAAGCTAATGTTGCAGTGCAAGAATCCAATGTGGTAGTGGAGATTACAAAGGAGAAGATTGATCTTGAAGTCAAGTTGCAGAGAAACACAAGTTCCAGGCTTCAACATCGTTCAACTTATCATATTATGCCACCACCACCATTACCAAAAGCTCCTTCAGATTCTTGGTTAAAGCGTACGTTGCCAACAATCCCTTCAAAGAACAACTCATTCACATGGTTACAGTCTCTTGGCGCTTATGATAATAATAAGATTAATCAAGCTAAGCCCAAGTGGGAAACTATGGTCAAAACCTCTAATACACAACAAGGGTTTGTGTGCTTCTCCAAGGTAAATGCCTCTCTTACTTTTCAAAGTCAATGCTTGCTTGGCCAAACTTTTTTTTTGTTTTTTTTAGCAAATTGATTAGCTTACGTGTTGAACATGTTTTGGTCTTGTAGGAGTCACTCAACCCTATACCAGAGGCGTAGCAATACGACCTGTTACCAAATTAATTGTAAATTTCAACAATAAAGAAGAGACGAGCCAATAAAGTTTGGGGGTTTAGTGTAAATCTTGAAATAATAGGTTCTTTTTTTTTTTTAAGGTTCTAAAGAGGAAAGATATGGATGTATTGTTTGTCACTTATTGGAGGTTTCTTGTTGAAGTGATGTACAGCTCATGTAAGCAGAGATTTTGTGGCAATAATACTCCATAACTCTACGTGACACTATTTCTTTGGCCCTTCTTTATATATAGACTTTTTTTTTGTTCTTTTGTAATTATGTTTCTGTAATGTAGAGCACTGGAAAGGAAACCTAAAACCTGCAGAACTGCATTGAATACATTACCGTAATGGTTACTAGCTAGATCAATTATTGAAACGAGTTTTTGTGTGAGAAATTCAAATTTTCATCCTCTTTATAATGGTCATGAAAGGTGAAATATGTTAAAAGAGTAGTAAGAAGATTATTTAGCAAAAAAAAGAGAGAGAGAGGTTTCATCATCAGCTAGGTAGAAATGAAAGAAACTACTGCTTTAGGAGAGGGTTTGTTGATCTTCATGATTCTTCTAGCTTTAACGCTTGTAGCCATGGCGGTTTTTACTTGCTCAAAGAAGAAGAAGAAGAAAGGTTGTCTTGGAGGCTGTTGTTGCGGTGGATGCGGAGGCGTTGGCGGTTGTGGCGGTTGTGGCGGTTGTTGCGGTGGAGGTTGTGGTGGTGGAGGCGGTTGTGGTGGAGGAGGAGGAGGAGGAGGAGGATGCTAGTTTTACAGAAATGAGATATCTCTTGGTACTTAAGTGAGTTTCTTTGTATTTAACTACTAATCCGAACGTGTTGGCATACCTAAGCACAATATGTGCATTATCTTTTTTATTGTTGAAAATAATGACCAGTGACAATATGTATTTGAATGTAGTATAGGGTCGGACTCTTGCATCCTCCTGTTATCCTTAATATTCTATCTGAACTGAATTTCATTTCACTATTTCATATTATAGTTTCTCATATCATGTTATAATATAATAACAAAGTAAAACGTTATTAACGTAAAACATCTTCATTCAATATAAACTCTAACCTAGAAGAATTGTTTAGCTTCTGCTTCTCAACCCATCAGAATCATGCAAATGAATTGAATCAAGAATTGCATAAGAAACTTCATATAAAGAGGTTTTATTGGCTATAAGATTGACACATTGGTTGTTTTGTCTCCCTTTAAAAGTGATGGTTGGCTTAATGAATCTTCTTGTCTCTTTGATTTCTTGGTACAAACTTGAAGCCTTGAACATTCTCGAGGTTCAGCTACTGTTTTCACCAATATATTTGAATCCTTCTCCAAAACTACCTCTTCATAGCAAGATTATCCATACTGCCAGTTTACAACAAAAATTCCTAGATTATAACCAAGCACAAATATCGTGAATTTGTGTGATTACAAAATGTTGAATGAAAGAGACTCGGGCTTTCTATAAAGTAAATAAGACATTTGGCTGATGCCACAAAATATAAGATAAAATGAAAGAGTAACGTATTGTTGTGCAAAGTGTTAGTTCCGAAAAAAGAAGTGGTAGTTCCAGTTTTCCATGGACGTTTGAATCTCAATATATAAAGAGTACATTAACCAAATTATCTCAATAAGTACGATCGTCCATGTCCTAAGGCCACATACCTTATCCAAAGACTTATAAAAACATCTATCAATCTGAGTCAAATGTTTATAACACGTTGAAAAGTGGCATCTTGCTCTATCAATATCTTAGATAATCTCGAAGAGACTTCAGGATTTAGATCGTATTCTTTCGTAAACACACTAGTCACGTAAGCCACTATTGTCCATTCAAAGAATTATCTAGAAAGAATGTGTTAGATTCGAGTTTTATCATATATCTGCTCTCGTTATTACCGAGCTCCAGAGCTCATCTTTGGGGCTACAGAGTATACATCCTCCATAGACATATGGTCTGCTGGTTGGTGTTTTGGCAGAGCTTCTCCTTGGCCAGGTTAGTTTAAACTATCTTGAGAACTAAATCATCTCTCCAGAATCCTCCACTATGTTTTCTTAATGTTTCAGCCGTTGTTCCCCGGAGAAAACTCTGTGGATTAGCTAGTGGAGATCATCAAGGTGAAGTCTCATTTTGATTAGATGTGTTACTTTGGCATATAAAATAGTTTGTTCTTGAGATATGTGCTGCGTTAATTTAGGTTCTTGGAATCTGATCAGATGCATGAATCCAAACTACACATACTTCAGATTCCCATAATTTAGGTTATTGTTATGTCTATGCAAATATATCTATCTATAATATTATACAAGAGGTAAATTTGCTTAGTTGTCAACTTCTTCTTCAGTTTAGATAAATTTATTTATTTATTTATTTAAATAATTTCATATACAATTTATTATTTAATAAAAACGAATTTCTATTAATAACATTATATTTTAGAAAATATGTTAATTATTTTGTATTAAAACGTTATCCTAAAATATATTTTCTATTATAAATTTCAAGTGAATTTACTGATTGATTTGTAACTTCTCCATGATTTTTGTAATTTTGCTTATTTGTTATATTTTTAATAATTTTATGAATAATTTATCATATAATAAAACCAATTTCTATTAATAATATTAGACTTTTAGAAAATAAGATAATTCTTATATATTATATTGTTATCTTTAAAATATTTTTTTTTAATCATAGAAATTAAAAATTAAGTTAAAATATTAATAGTTAAATATAAAGAAAGCAATGCTGATTTATCAACTTCTCCATGGTTTTATATTTTGTTTATTTATCATATTTTAATAAAAAGAATGTAGACTAATAATACTAGATTTAAAAAATAAGATAATTCCTATGTATTAGATTGTCATCTTGAACATATATTTTCTATTAGAAAATTTAATTGAATTATCTGATTTGTAATTTCTCCATGATTTAGATAATTTTGATTATTTGTCATATTTTTAATAATTTCATATAAAATTTACTATAAAATAAAAAATGAATTTCTATTAAAAATTATATTTTGAGAAAATAAGATACTTTTTATGTATTATATTGTTATCTTGAAAATATATTTTTTATTATAGAAATAAAAAATTAGGATAGAAAAAATTATAATTAAAATAAATTAAAGCATCACATTTGTAAAAATATATTTTTAAAAATATTTTGTTATGTGAGTCTTGTCATTTATAATTAATTTTAAAACATAAATCATAACTTATTATATTGGTTTGAATTGATAAAATATAGAATAGTAATAAATTGTACGAAAATTATGCCCGCATGTGCGGGTAAAACACCTAGTTATACTATTATATAAGAAGTAAATTTGCTTAGTTGTCAACTTCTCATTGATTTTAGGTAAATTTGTTTATTTACCTTATTTAAAACGATAATAATTTCTTTCTAATATTTATATCTAATAATATAATTATTTATTTGTTAATGTGAATCTGCGTTTACACATGTATACCAAGCACTCACCAATATGTTATCCAAGCTAATAAATATAAGCGTTAGGCCCATTAACAAATATGTTTCAGAAAAACCCAAATATCACATGTATTGGAGGTCAAAATTCTCGTTTTTGATATTTATGAAAACATCATAGACCATTACACACAGCTAAATATAGACATTTGTTTGTCCCAAATATTTTGTATAGTTTTTTGCCACAAATATTGTTGCTAAAACTTGGTTCATAAATAATATTTCAGGGGCCATCTGACCAAGGATGTTCTTGTTATACTACTAATCCATAAATTATGTATTATTTACTAGAGAGATTTAGTGAACTACCCATATTTGAAGCTCAAATTAGAAAAATACCTTTGATTAGAGATGAAGGACACTGACACAATCATTTGGCAAGGAAATGCCGAGAATGTCCTTTCTCTTTCCTCTCATTAACACGAAGCGTAAAAACATTTGTTAACATATAACACTTCTGTTAACGTCTACAATATTTGTTAACAGCCAACACATTTATTACCGCGAAGAGTAAAAATAATTGTTAACAGTTAACACTTCTGCTAACGTCTACAATATTTGTTAACAGCGAACACATTTATTAACGCGAAGCGTAAAAATAATTGTTAACACCTAACACTTCTGTTAACGTCTACAATATTTGTTAACCGCTAACACGACGTCGAATCTAAAACCCAGAAAATTGATATCATCAAAAATTGAGGNGAAGAGTAAAAATAATTGTTAACAGTTAACACTTCTGCTAACGTCTACAATATTTGTTAACAGCGAACACATTTATTAACGCGAAGCGTAAAAATAATTGTTAACACCTAACACTTCTGTTAACGTCTACAATATTTGTTAACCGCTAACACGACGTCGAATCTAAAACCCAGAAAATTGATATCATCAAAAATTGAGGATTCAAAGCCACTTATGAAAAAAATAATGAAATTTAAAATTTAATTGTATATAGAATGATAGAGATTTGTGAAATAATTAGGGATTGGAGAGAAAAAAAAAGGTCAAAATTGAGGATTCAAAGCCACTTATGAAAAAATAATGAAATTTAAAATTTAATTGTATATAAAATGATAGAGATTTGTAAAATAATTAGGGATTGAAGAGAAAAAAAAGAGGGGAGATGACAAAGAGAGGAGAGAGAGTGTAGAAAAGAGCAAAATGGTCCAAAGGAAAGTGATTGTCACATCATGGGCAATTCTCTAATTATAGGTACCAAATAGGGCACTTTAGCCAATTAACTCTATTTACTATGTGTGTATGCATCCCAAAAATAATACAGAGTTATAATCCATCTATATTTTTTTATTTAATCAGATTAATAAAATTAACTGTTTTTAATCTAACATATAATAAACTTCATTTTGCTCATTTATAAGAATCATGAATTTTAAATAATTTCATATATCTGTACATCGTAGACCTTACACACAACTAGTTTAGACATTTTTTATTCCAAATAGTTTTTTTTTTCTAGTTTTGTGCCACAAATAATGTTACTAATATTTGGTTCATAAAACATATTTTATTGGTTATTTGACCGAGTATGCCCTTGTGTATATTAATCCCTACAATACATATGATTTACTATGTATGTGTGCAGTCATTAGAAATATTCAAAATTGTAATCTAACTATGTTATTTTATTTAATCAAAAATATTATGAATTGTTTTTCCCCTTTGTTTTTTTTTAATTTCACAGGTAATTAACTGATTTACAAGGAAACTGAAATTAAAATAATTTCATATCGCTGTAAATACATAATATATTAGTGTATGTTAATTACATATATAAATTGTACGTAAGTTTTCAGAAAAAACATGTCAATTTGCATCCTCGCTTCTCCTTTTACACATTTTTATTTTGTGTATTTCAATGTGAGTTAATTCACTTTTACAATCATATCAAAGATATATTTATTTTCATAATTATACATATATTGAAATTACTAAATATGAAAATTTGGAATGAGTACCAAAAAGTTACTAACATTTCATAAATATTAGTTTCCATTATGTAGTTGTAGTCGTTTTGTATCACAAAGGTTACCAATAATAAAAGAACACATTTTCTTCATATTCAATTTTAAGTAATAGTCTCTCGAAATATCTTTGTCACTAGTGATAGCTAATGTAATAGCTTTTTAATTTATTTCTAAAATATGTTATTTTATAGTAAAACACTTTATTATATAGTTAGTTATACTTTAATGAATACTTTTAAAGCAAATTCACTAAATTAAAAGAGAATCGTTTCCCTAACTTCCATTGTTAACAATACAAAAACGTCAATTAAAATATTTGTTGTTTTGTAACTTAAGTAAGACTGCATATAAATATCACAAAGTCTAGTTTCAATAATTTCATAACAAACAAAAATACAGAATATTAGCAAAAAAAATTCAGTATATTTTATTTTTTGAATATCGTTTTCAAATTTTGATTTATAAGATGAAGACAATTTTTATTTTTTTAAGTGTTATAGTTATGGTTTCATCGGGTTCATTTATCATTGGTAAGTAGGAGAATATGTTAAATATTGTAGTCTTTATTAACATATAATTGATTAATTTGATATATATCTTAAAACTCTTTTAGGTGCGACGAATACAATGAAATATTCTAATATGGAAGAGAGAACCCATATTACCAATCCAACATCATCTCTCTATCAGTCAGACGAGTTAGTAGACATACATCTCAAACATCTTGCTCGTCAAGGCTACACAGCGTTTTGTGTTGATTGTGCTTGGGCTTGTTATCGATTGAATAAG